CCTTCCTGAGGAATTCATACAGGGATAGTGTATGGTGTGTGTGTGTGTGTGTGTGTGTGTGTGTGTGTGTGCTTGGAGACGACAGAGGGAAAGCACTGATGTTTGAGAAAGAGGCATGTTTTTTCACCTGTGTTAAAGAGAGAAAGTAGGGTTGCCTGTGTGTGTGTTTGTGTATTGATGTAGACACTAAAAAGGAGCAGCGGAGGGGAGGAGGATTCAGACCCATGAACCCCCTCCGCACATAGTTTCTAAAGCTAGGATAGCAGCACTGGCATTCTCCGCAATAATGCATGACAGATGTACATCAACCCTGCTCTCTCTCTCTCTCTCTGTCTCTCCTTCTTTTTCCGCCTCCTCCTATCTAGACCCACTGTGCTGTCGGTGATGGGCATCACACATCAAGGCTTTAACAGCAATAGAATCAAGAAAGGCAGGATTCCCGGCTTGTCTTCTCGTTTTAGTGGTTGAATACTAACTGTAAGGGCACTGAGTGTTTATTAGAGCTGGAGTTGTTCAGTGCTGCTTTCAGATGGATGTTTATGTATGTGGACCGTTTATGGTGACACACACTGTAAGGCAACCCACACTCACTGGCCACTTCATTAGGTACACCTGTACAACTGTATGAATTTCAATGCAACACTTAATGTTTGTGTTTATGAAGCTCAAAATGTTTCAGTTTTTAGTGAAATTGTCATAAATGTATAAATTCAAAAATGTATTTATTATTAAGGTCATAGTTAACGGTGGTGTTGTACTGGACTACATTATATTCACAGGTGTCTCTATAGTTTTGTCCTCTCCAGCTACATACATGAGAGGGTCAGAATATTTGGAACACCTACTACTGTTACTACAGCTACTATTAGTACTAGTAGTAATAACAATAAAGTTATTTTTTCAGGTCCCACAGTTCAACTATTTTTAGCACCACTGAGCTGCATTATTCACAGTAATCAGGTATTTTTATGTCCGTCATTAAATTAAATGCAAAATTCTAAAAGTCTTTTGAATCACATGTTGATGCAGTTTGGTGTGAATCATATATTATCTGTGGAGCCTCAAACCCAGTTCTTCAAACTTGATCAGTTTGTCTGCACATCACATACTGTGGGGTTAAATGATGTAAAGGAGCACTCCAGTGATTATTACTGCATTTCCATAAAGCTAGGAGAAGCACAAGAGATCGTTTATTTTAAATAAGTAAAAACCTGATATATCATAACTTTAACTCCCTAGTCAAGCTCCTACCATGAGCAATGAGTCTCAGAGTTTATAACCTTATTTTTTCCAAACTTTGCTCATGAGTAAACTGAACTTGTTGTGTAAAATTGGTGAAGTATCCCTTTAAGTGCAGAATTGTGTGTGTACTCTACTGTTTTCATATTTGCTTGAGGTTCTGTGTTCAAACAGCAGAGGGCAGCATGTTCACAGTGCATGATGTCAAGTTTCCCCTCTCTCATTGTCAACATTGTCACTAACAAAAGTTCTTCCAGCAAACACAAGGAGACTTGACAGGAGCCCGGCAACATTTTCTCATCACATCTTAATTAAAACAGGTGTGTTCATAAATAAACGAGCTGTTTTTGTTGAAGATGTTTTATATTGAGAAGTAAAATCTGTCAAGAGTAGTCAAATCTCTTTACTACTGCAGCTACTGGAAGGAAAAGAAGAAAGGAGAGGAAAGCTTAGGATACATTTGAGTAAGTGTGTGAAGACAAATAAAAATATTTTTTTTAAAGTAGAAGAGGTTGGTTACAGTTGGAAACAGAGATGAGGGAAGGAGAAAGCACAGAGGTCCATAACATAAGAGAAAAAGACAGTAATGATCACAATGACAGAACAGAAAGTGGTCAACATTGTGCTGAGTCACTGTGCTGTCCTACTTTGTTTTATTACTTCCTTGTACCAGTAAATAAACATGAGCACAATACACAATCAACTATCAGTTGTTTTGTTGCAGTGTGACCAGTTACACAAGAGCTTTATTTAAGTGCAAATACAAGGTTTTCTACAGTGTTTCCAGATCACGGCATGTTAAAATTTGAGTCCATTAAAATTCAGAGGGTAATATTGTACCTGGCCACTTTACACAAAGAAAAGACAAATACACAAAATCCTCAGATGTGACTCGCCTTTCATAATGTTTATAGGTAGCAAAAGCACAAGCGTGGTGTCTGCCGTCCATAGTTTGAGACAAGAAGAGACATTTATATCTTTTTTGCACCAGGGAAAGGCCTAGATTTTGCTTTGTTAAGGGCATTTTCTGCACTGGGAAATAAGAATTGAAGACAAAGCAAATTCCTGCCAAACACCTGACTCCAAAGAATATGATGACAATAACTCAATAAAGTGCCCTCAGCACATATGCAGTGTGTCCTTAACAATAACTATCCAAAATGTTGTTGCACAGAACCTGACTGGGTGTCATAATATTATGCAACCCGTCCTGACATCATGTCTCCAAGTCATTTGTCTTTTCATGTTGTTTATGTTGGTGGGTGTGGTATGAGATACATGGAAAATAATGCAAACGTAAGAAGATACAGACTCCCTGACAATGTTGAAAATATGCTGCAGCACAGAAACGCACCCGTCGGGAGCAGCCGGGGGGCATATGCAATAGTTACAGAATAAAGTCTCAATAGAATAAAGTACTTGTAATGAATTAAGATCAATATAGATGTCACCTCGGGATTCACAGCTCTGCAAAAGCAAAGTTTAGTGAAGGATAAGCTGAGGTTTCCACCTGATTAACTCAAACTCCAGTCACTATCATTATCACTTGCTAAGCTTAAAGTGTGTGTGGGTATAAAATGGATGAAGTACAAACACAATGAACTTGTCTTTTTCTGCCACAAATAATCAAGAGACTGTGGGAGGCTGATAAATGACTACATGGTTTCAGAGAACTGAGAAAATATACTCAGAATGGCCGACTGCCAAGGGTGTGGTCTGTCACCTATGCTGTCATCTGAAATATCTATGGACAGGATATAAAAGTGTCTCAGGTCTGGTTACATTTTATGTGACTAGGATGAGCATCAACATGTCCCTTCCTAGAAATAGGTACCAAGTAAGGGAGAAGAAACCCGGTTACATCAGGCACCAAGTTTAAGCTACCTTTAATGGGCGGGGCTAGGGCGGGGCTCGTTGTGGCACCGACCACTCCCCAAAATCTGATTGGCCACCCCTGCCAGAGTCCAAATGTGACACTTGACAGTATTAATGAATGAAAAACAGAGAAATACAACTAACATTTTTCTGGTGGTTTACAACTGATATTGCTCAAATTCGTTTTGAAATTCATTTCTCCTTTTGTGTTGCTGTGGAGTATTTGGTATGATTTGAATCAGCGGGGGGAACCACTGTGCTGTCTCATTTTTACACACAAAAAAACCTATTTGACTCATAATAATGTGTGGGGTATTATTTCACAGAACTAGACGTTTAATTTACTTTTATACGTACTCTTCTCTGAATGTGTGCCCCAACCTGGCCACCCCATCCAAACTTTCATAGATCCACCCAAGTACCTTAGAGACAAATGGATCATACAGGGGAGTGCTATGGGTGTAAGCTCTTAATCTTTGTTTGTCTTCTGAGTAATCTTCTTTAAATTCCAGTATTTTTCAAGGCTGTTCTGTGTGTACAGTGACTCAGACTCTCATTCAGTCATTCACCCAATCACTCCAGCCAACAGTTAGGAATCATCTGCAGGGATTTAGACTTTGCAGTAGACTGTGGAGATGATGAGAGCAAACTAAATTTATCTTGATATCCTGTGAACATGCTGTATCTCCAATATTCTCCAAAGGTCTTTGCGAGCTAATAAAAACAGCTCTATTCAGCTTTGTGACAGCTCATTTCTCAGGTAATCCATTGTGCCTTTAGATAGTTTGCTTATCTTAAAACGCATAAGGAAGCTCCAAAAAATCACTATTGGCCATAAGGTTTAGGTGTAGACAAGAAAAAGAATTACATAATCTTGCTAAAAATATTTTGATAAGTGCAGATGGAGGTTGCTTTGCCAGACAGCCTGCCCCCCTGGATCCTTTAGGAGATTTCTGGGCAGGACTGAGCAGAAGGAGTCCCTGTGGAGACTTGCTGGAGCAATTTCAGCTAGTGTGATAACACCTGAGGATCCCCTTTACAGGAGAAGTTGGAATACAGAATAAGTCCAGTAGGCAAATTTACAAAATTATACACAGGTCATATTATACTGCAGTTAAAACATGAGACACATGGATGATAATTACTGTTGGAAGGCTAAAACAGAGGCAGGAATTTTTGCTCATTCAGTGTTAAACTGTTCTTGAGTTTCTTCTCTTTGTAAACAAGTACACTCTGGAGAGCGGCTGCATTCACAACTGGCAGAACATCTCCAGCTGAGTATCCTGGGAAACATATCTGTCCTAAAGGTCTATCCAGACCATTTGGACTTCCACTGGCAGGTTTAATTTGTACTTCAGTGATTGTTTTCCGCCACTGAATGAGTCAGACAAAGCCCGATATGTGACATTGTTGAACAGGTGACACTGATCACAAAGACTAATAAAGTAATTTCTATGAAGTTTGGAAACAACTTGAAGAAAATTAGCTTTTATAGTTAGTGTCCATTCATTGTTGCTATATAGATATTGTGGATTATATGTACTTTATAGGTCCTGCCTCCAAGGAATGTGGCATGCCTGACATTTATGTTGTCATGCTGCCAATTGTGACTCTCACTCTGTAGTTCTTCTGCCAGAGATCAAGGCAGGACACAAATCCAAGTACTTATTGTTCTATTATTTTACCTGCATCAGCTACTTTTATGTGCCCACAGTGGTTCTGCTGGTTTTGTTCTATGTGCAGTGACTAGTGGTTTTCTGCCACTGACTTGTGGGCGCATTGTGTTCTTTATGTGCTGAGGTTATTAAAAAATTTTAAAAAGAAATTGAATATACAGCAGTTTATACATCCCAAATTGCACTGAAAGTGTTTTAACATACTTTATCAGTGGTAGGAGCTGGTATTATTCTTGGCACACTGTGTACGTGCTATGATCACATTCGCTGTTTGTTGGAAAACAAAAGCGCCGTCGACCAAGATTCATCGTGCACGATCAGCGCACACGGAAATGAAATGCGCAAATTCAGATCCTGCTTTATTTACCTTTGTAAATTATCAATACACTTCTAAGAACCGTCGTGGATCCCTTTCCTCCTGCATATCGTCATCATACCGTGGCATGTTTCAGTAGCTGTTAGAGAAATCCTGAAGTTGTCCTGCAGCTGGCCGAAGTTCAGTTTCAGTTTGTGGACTGTTGACTTGTTGCCACCTATGCGTAATACCCGCACAGCGTTTACAATGTACTCGAAAGTTGCAGAGTCATGTTGCTGCAGAAATTCCTCCCCTTCACCACCACAGCCTGTGGACGTCAGCCAGCAGCGGAGCAGGGGAACGACGACACACACACAGCTCAGTCTCCTTGTAACGTGGAGCTTGACAAGTCCGCTGGTTTCCTGAGGTACGCTCGGCTTCAGCCAGCGACCGGGCAAAGCTTACCTGTGGTTGTGCGTAAACTTCTGTGATATCATGCGCCGTGTTCTCGTGTGATACGAGTGTCTAACAGCTGCCGTCGAGGCGTAACTGTAGGTGAGTATTTCTGCAGCTGTGAAAATGTTAAATGGTTTTCACAGGCTGAGTTGGGATGCGCCCTTTCCTGAAATCACTGTAGCATTCAAACGCAGCTGTTGTGTTAGTGTGATCTTAAATTGACTTGGTATGGAGTCGCAACAATGACTATTCATGTACAGTAAACCTTAAGATAGTTTATTCTTTAGCTGTCGAGCGCTCAGTTCATTTCCTCACTAATGCGCCGACTCCTAAAAGGGAATTGAAACTTTTGCTAGTTGTCCTTTGTACATGGTGTGTAGAAGGTGGAGCTGCGACGCATGGCTGCCAAATTAAAGGGAAAAGCTGAATAAACGAGTGGTTTCTTTCAGGATGTCATATCTGAGAAGCTTTAACAAACAAATGTTTGGAACCTTTGCTTGACAAACACCAGTAATCAATTAATAAAATATCTGAAGATTGATCTGCTGCTTATCAGTTGATTAATCTACTAGCTGTTGCTAAAAAATAGTGGAAAGGCCACAATTATATGTCAGATAATAAACAAATGAACTGATGCTCAAACAATTAAAGTAAATAAGATTTATTAACTGCTTAATCAAGAAACTTGAATGTAAAATAAATCCAGAAATTCACTGGTTGTTGCTTCTTCTGATAGTAAACTTAATATTTAGTTAATAACTGTGAAAATAATCATTAGTTGCAGTCCTAGAATAAATGCACAGTTGAAAAGAACACACTGCAAGTCATTAAAGAAGACAATATAAATATATTTTAAATTCTTTTTCAGCCTGTTCCCAAATCTCTGTGAAGGCTGCGTTAAACCACAGATAAGAATGTATTTTCTTTGTTTAGTGATGAATTGAGTAAGGGATTACAGAATGATTGATTGATTGATTGATTTATTCTTTCAAGCATGTAAAGACACACATAATTTCACACATATCCAACAAATGCTAATCCATTATCAATGTGCTTATACCTAGAACATGCTTGAACGGAGTAGGAAGAAATCAGACTTATCCAGTCCTATCCCCTGACATCATCTTACCATCATTGGTTTGCAAGCAGTATTTCTACATAGATAATTTTGTTCTACACAACACAAGTAATATACTAAAAAATTATAACAGAGTGTTAACATTCTTACGTAATTACATTCTTAGATAATTATCTTCTACACCACACAAGTAATATACTAAAGAATTATTACAAAGTGTTAACATTCATACACCACACCCACAATGTTCCACCTGGTTAATCATTAAGCCTGTTCTTGCATATATCTTGATTGACACATACCTTTATATTTATGTTTAAACTCATCAATTCTATTACTATTTTTTATGCCCACACTTAAATTATTCCATAGTTTTACCCCACTTATGGAAATACAAAATCTTTTTTTGGTTGTACGTATAGCATGAATTTTTAAATTTAACTGACCCCTTAAATTGTATCCCCCTTCCCTTTCATTAAATAGTTTTTGAATTCCACCAGGTAATAAATTGTTCCTGGCTTTATACATAAACACAGACGTCTTATCAGTCAGTTAAAGCAGCAACGTCTATAAAGCCAAAATCCCAAATACTATACAACGTAACAAGCACTTCCCTGCTGC